GGCATCATTGGATACATCAGTGGTTACCATACTTCATAAGAAAATTTTAGCGCCCCTCCCCTCACCCTCCCACCCAAAAAAAAAACCCAAAACAAAAACAGGACACTTATTTGTTTGAATCGTTTATTTCACACATTTTAAATGGAACTGTTGTTACGCACCTTAAACTTGTCCATTTTATTCTAGCATTACCGACTTTGGTCAGTTGGCCGGAGTGAGGTTTTGTGTTAGATAAGGGCAGGCACTACCTGGGGCTGCTACTGCTGCTCCGAGCAGATCAAATGGGCGACAGCAAAAACGTGAGCAAGAATTTAAAAAAAAATAATGTCCTCTGTTATAATGTCATTATCAGATATTCATTTTTACACCGTCTTTAACCATTCCGTTTGTTGCCAGACTTTTTTTTTTTTTTTAAGCATTTACAGCATTTAACAATATGCTGCATTGTTGTATCATTCAGATGTTTATATTAGACATGACACTTTTCCTCCTGCGTATCCATGGCATGCTTTACATTACTAATAGTGCTCGATCTAGTTACATTAACATTAGCAACTAACATTTCATTCCTGAACCTTTGTAGCATTTGCTGATTAAAAAAAAAAAGAAAAGTGGATAGAAATTACTACTATTTTTACAATGCTATTTTAGTCATCTGTTTTGCTTCCATTTCACAGTGCTTATGTCACTTACTTTTGGCTTTGATGTTTATTGCAAACTTTATAAAGAGCAGTTGCATTAGTGCCATTGCATTTCCTATGTAACCTTTTAGTTAATGTTAGCTATGTGCCTATCAATCAGAATAGAAGAAATCAGGGTTTCATTCCTTAACTATAGCCCAGTTTAATTTGATTAAGAGTTAGTATTTCTATTAAATTCAAAACTCAATCAGGCCATGAAATGAGCCTCTCTTTAAAGTCCCAGTATGACATTACCCTACGGCAAAGATGATGTCATACTGAGACTAAAGATCAGGGCCAAATCAACTGTCATTGATGATGTTATTTGTAACCATAACAGTGGCATAAAAAAAGGGATTTACATGTCTTGCATGTTTTAATGATTTGTGTTTTTATGTGTAAAAAACATTTATAAGTAAAATAAAGAATTTTAACAAGTGGGTTTTTGTTGTTGTTGTTTTTACCTCTTTTTTATTATACTATAGCTTAGCAGTGAATTTTCACTGGATTTTACGTCGCATTAATAGTAGTTATTCAGACTCAACACTAGAGGTCAGTTCGTTTTGTCAACGAGAGTTGACCGTCTGTGCGGGTTAGAATTGTTTTTGGACCCCCTCACGGACTCCACACCTCAGTGTTCGAACGACTCGATGTCAAATGTCTCTCAGAGGTTGGAAGTCAGTTTATGTTGTAATTTCAGCCATTTCCTGTTTCCAGTCAGTTTACGTTGTAATTTCAGCCATTTCCTGTTTCCTGTCTTTTGGCACATACCCACCCTAAAAATAATGATGTCACTGCAGTTTTTTTGTTGTTGTTTTTACCTCTTTTTTATTATACTATAGCTTAGCAGTGAATTTTCACTGGATTTTACGTCGCATTAATAGTAGTTATTCAGACTCAACACTAGAGGTCAGTTCGTTTTGTCAACGAGAGTTGACCGTCTGTGCGGGTTAGAATTGTTTTTGGACCCCCTCACGGACTCCACACCTCAGTGTTCGAACGACTCGATGTCAAATGTCTCTCAGAGGTTGGAAGTCAGTTTATGTTGTAATTTCAGCCATTTCCTGTTTCCTGTCTTTTGGCACATACCCAGCCTAAAAATAATGATGTCACTGCAGGAGCCATTTCCTGTCACACCCGGCTCCATCCTCCACACCTTTGGTGTCATTTAAAGACAAACAATTACAGAAGTGGATGCAGCCCGAGAGTGAACATCAAAGTCTGCTTTGCCGTCTGACGTATGGGACAGCTCAAGAAAGTTGTGTGGTCAACGTAAATGAAGATTCATGTTTGTAAATATGTTTTAGACAACATCTTCAACTGAAAACTATTGTATTTAAGCCACTTATCATCTTACACCAAAGTCCAAAGTGAAAATTAATGGTTTAGGTCGGGCATGGGCAAAGTACAGCCCGGGGCCTGGATGCGGCCCATTCAGCTTCTTAATCCGACCCGGCAAACTTTTCCCAATTATATAATTTATTTATATTGTTGTTTTAACGGGGCGTTGGTGGATTAGTGGTTAAGGAAGCGGACTTGGGTCTGGAAGGCTTCAGGTTCGTCCAAGTTATCCCTTTTCCCTGCGATACCAATGTTTCCCTAATAGATAGTGTAAAAAATGCTAAAAGCATTTAGTCTTTATGCACGACATTTTACATTAATTTATCATTTATCTTAGTTCGCACAAACGCTCCATTTATCTGCGCCTGACCCAGCCCCCTTGTTCAATTTTAGGACGGTCGTGGCCTGCGACTCAAATAATTTGCCCACGCCTGGTTTAGACTATGGGACCCAGGACTCAAATGTGTTATTTTGTGACTTTATTGTTTTAATCATTTAACTTTAAGTCCAATATTCTTATACATCTAAGTAATTTTACCCTAAGAAGTTTAAAAGTAGATAATGGACTGACATGTTTCTTGAAGACATTTTATTTTTCATCCAGGAGAGGCCTGCATACTGTATTTACTCTTGATCGTGGTGACACAAACTGACACCAGGAGGCAGCACTAGACCACCAGGAACTTGCGTTTCCTTGAGCTGAAATCACTGACTTTCAATATGGACTTTGACATTAGGGAGCTCGCCAGAGGTGTGGACTCGAGTCTCATGACTTGGACTCGAGTCAGACTCGAGTCATCAATTTGATGACTTTAGACTCGACTTGACCAAATGTAAAGAGACTTGCAACTCGACTTGGACTTTAACGTCAATGACTCGTGACTTCACTTGGACTCGAGCCC